TATTTGACTGAATTGTTACAATTTTAATTATTTTATGACTTGTAAGCCAGAAATTCTGGAATTTATTTCACTTAGCAACCTATGCGAGACCAAAAGGTGATTATAGTAACATATGTAGGAGTAGTTTAACAATTTAAGTGATTAATGCACTGAGTTTCAATATTTTAACTACATCGATTACATAAATTGTCAAATCTACTTAACAAACACTTGTCAACACATTTAAGCTAGCTACTTATAAAATTTAAAAATTCCACTATGTTAAGTTAAACTCATCCAAACAAAATTAGAATTTTAATTCATTCCATAAATATTCAAATACAACCTTAAAACTTAAAACATTTTGTATAAATGGAAAAATAAATGGTTAATATGTCAAAATGCCCCTTAGTATAATCTATCGGTTTGGTATATAAAGAATAAAATCTTATTTTGGTACTTCAATTTTTATTATGTCAAGTATTTTGATATTTTTATTGTCCATTAAATGACTAATATGATATAAATACTCAATAAAATCATATCACTTATTATAAATATCTAATCATTGTCATGTCAATTATTATCATTTCAACAAAAGATTTAGTTTTTCTCTCTTTCTCTTATTCTTTTTTTTTCTTATTTAATTAAAAATAAAATTTTAAAAATTTTTATTTAAATAATGACATGAAAAATAAATGATGTGGCGATGACTAGATATTTATGCCTCATGTCATTATTTTGTTGGGTATTAATGGTATGTTTTCAATATATTTTAGATAGACATTTTGATATAATTTTTAAATAGAAATTTTTAGTAAAAATATTGATAAATTTTTTATCGTTAAATAAATATCATTAAATTTGAATTATAAACAACATTTTAAATATTTTTTAAAATATTATTGATTTTCACATAAAAATTAATCAATCTATTGATTTAGATTTTTTATTAAAGTTTTTGTTAAATCATTTTTTTTAAAAAGTCATAAATTTCACTTAAAAAACTTTATATAATTTTTGTCATAGAAACTTTATTGTTCATCAAACTTAACATTCTCCCTCTCTTACATATATTTTATGATATGTTTGATTTGCGAAATGAAATAGAAGGTGAATTAAATAGGTATTATGTAGGTATAGAAAAGATGATGAATAAAATAGAATAGTTCTTATGATGTTTGGTTTATTGGAATGAAATATAATAGGAATTAATATTAATATTTTTGGTTAGTTCAAATAATATTATTTTAAATAAATTTAAAAGATTATTTTATTTTATTATTATATTAATTATAATTCATTATAAAAATAATATTAATTATTACTAATTAATAAAAAATTAATCTCAATTTAAAAATTAATATTTACATCAATATTTAATTAAAGATATAATTTGATTAAAATCAACTAAACATTTTCGAATTTGATTAATTAAAAATTTTTTTTGACAAAAAAAAAAAAAAAAGCCATTAACTCGCGTGATACGTTGAATTGTTGGCATTTTTTCTGTTGTGGCAAGCCATATGTGTATTTTTGCATTATTTTTGTACACATGATCAATCTTGAGTAGTTAAAAATTGATTTAAACTGTTAAGTCTATATCAATTCTCCACAATTAATAAAAAAAAAAACTCCAACTAGATCATCATCAACAATATACCGCAACAGTCGCTCCTCTATATGCTTCCTTAAAACTCTTTCCCACGAGGGAAAGATAGAACCAAAAATTCACGGCGAAGCGTTTGAAGCAGCTTCATATTCATCTGGAGGAGGAACTGCAAGGTATTTCAATCTGATGTTTGAAATTTTCCTTTTCCTTTTATTTATACAAAATTAGCTAAATACCCACAAATTTAATGTTGGTGTTGAGCGAGGCATAAAATTTTGAAATTATAAGAATGAGAAGAGAACGGTTAAAGCAAAGGCAATAAATGTTTTTTACGTTTGTACTCTAATACTTAATGAGGTCGAGACTAGAAAAGTAAAAAGAAAAGAAAATAAGAATATATATAATAAAAAAAAAGAGATTGAATTGATAGTACTCTTTATTTATAAACAAAAATGAAAATTTTGTAAAATAAAATAATAACATAATTGAATTAATGTGATATTTTATATATGTCAAATTAATTTAATATATCATATCAATATAAAAATTAAAAATACCATTAACTGGTTGTGATAATATCTAATTAAAAATTAATCAATTTACTTTTTAGACCCGAAAATACTCTTTGCACCCAAAAAAACAATATCAATTTTCAAAGAAAAAAAACAAAAATCTCAAGGTGATTTGATGGGCATCGACGGTGGCAATTTTCAAAGTTGATGGGTTTCCTGTAGCTCAACCCTTCTAACCAAGCCAAGCCAAGTCAAGCTTTCCAGCAATCGAGCCTGAAAAGATCAGATTTGCGGTAATGCGGATTCGCCAAAAACAGATTTGATAGCGCTATGTTCTTCCTTCACATAAGCCCAGGCATGCGGCATGCCTTTAATATGCCAGGAGAAATAACAACCAATGAAAGAAAACACTGTTGAACCAGACTACCTAAAGATTAGACTGCCAAGGTGCCAATCTCAAAGCTTATAGGCAAAGATAAGAAAAATGATAAATAGATTGAAATAAAAAAAATTGTAATGAATTTTAAAGGTTTCAAAGAAATTTTCTTATTTCCCCTTTTGCGTTTAAACCTGGACAAAGAGGATGTAAAACAAGAAAAATGTCAGATTTTTTTAAAGAAAAATAAATAAATTTCTTTTTTTACTTAAAAAAAGTTAACCGATATTAAAAATAAAAAATGGCCAAAAGTTTTTTTATTTTAAATTTAAATTGATTGACAAATAATCAATTAACACATGACATCTTTTATTTCATAAAATGCCATTAAGAAACTTGACGTCGCATGCAATATGATTTCACTTTTTTTGTATGCACTTGATCTTTATTTGAATAATTTTAAAAATATTTGATCCTTATTTGAATTAAATCCATCGTTATATCTTTAATTTTAAAGACATTTAATCTTTTTTTCTCTCTTATTAATAATTAATCATAATTAATTAATAAAAGTTAATAATAAAAAAAATGCATTTTACAAAAATAAAATAAAAAGGGTTATTAATTAATAAAAAATATTTTTTCATTTTTTCATTTCTTTATTTTTTTTTTTGTTTTTTTTTCCTCTCTACCTTTTCTTTTTCTCTCTTCTCATTTCCTTTTCATTTCTCTTCCTTTCTCTAGAACTAAAACTTATCTCTCTAAAAATTTCACAACCACCAACAACTGTTAGCTGTTTAATTGTCGTTGATCAGTGTTGACAACCACCTTCTATCATCGTTGACCAACATTAACCGATGCCAATTTTTATTAAATTTCATTCATATGCTCATCTTAATATCCTCTTTACTTCTATTAGATTGATATTTTTTAAACCGCCTAGAAAAAATCCGGAACAGAATCCAGAATCAACCGAATCAAATGCAATGTTAATGGTGGTGAGTTTGACTTTTCTACAAGCTTTAAAATTAAAAAGAAATGGAAGCCATTAGTATTAAATTTATGTTGGGAGCAAAGAGGCAAATGGTTAATGTGGTTATACTAATGTTTTAACGCCTTAAATAAAGAGTAGGCACGTGGTGTAACAGCTAAAATGATACATTATTGAAAAATATATAAATAAAAAATTATTATATCCATAGCTTTAGGCTATAGACGGTACGTAGGATTTGTAAATTTTACTTTAAAAAATTTATAATTTATAATTTTATTAAAAGTAATATCGAAATTAAATTCGTTTAACTAAAAAATAAAAATAAATAGATAAAATACAATGAAATGAATAAAAATTACTGTACACACACATATATATATAGATCTAACGATTTATGTATTAATATCATATAA